CGGGGGGGCAAGTGGGGGCGGTCCATAAGGACCACCGGGGCATGAAGATGGTTTTACAGAGCATGCACAGCTACTGACAGACGACCCGAGCGGGGGGGTGGGGGTGTGTGTGTGTGTGTGTGTGTGTCCAGCCCCCTGCACCAAGCAGGAACGACAAGTGGGGTCGGGTGACCAGAGTAAAGTGACTGTCTAGTCTCCTCTAGAAGATTTCCAGGGTGAGATAGATAGGTATATGTGTGTGTATATATATATAAAGGGACACACACACACACACACACACACACAGAGATAGATAGATATATATAGATAGATATATATATATACGTGTGTTTATGTATGTGTGTGTATATAAAATGTGTGTGTGCATATACACACACACACATTATATATATATATATACACACACACACACATACATAAACACACACGTGTATATATATATATATAGAGAGAGAAAGTGCATACACTATACACACACTCTCTGTATGTGTGTGTGTGTACTGTATACAAACATACACACACACACACACACACACACATATATATATATAAAAAGAGAGAGAGTGTGTGTGTGTGTGTATGTATATGTATAAGTATTTCTCTATCTGGAAATCTTCTAGAGGAGACTAGACAGTCACTTTACTCTGGTCACCCGACCCCACTTGTCGTTCCTGCTTGGTGCAGGGGGCTGGACCCCATGCTCTTCCAAGGTCCCTTCCAGCCCCTGACAATCTGTGAATATATATTTCATATATATCTATCTCTATATCTAGATATAGAGATAGATAGATAGATATATGTGCAAGTGTGTATGTATGTGTATACACACACATACACACACACACTATAGATATGCAAGTGTGTGCATGTGCATGTATGTGCATGCAAGTATGTGTGTATGTATATGCATGTGTGCATGCATGCATGTCTGTATATGCACACATGTGCATACGCACATGCATATGTACGACCGTGTGTATATGCATACGTGTGTGCATACGTGCGTATGCATGCATGCGTACGTGTGTGTGTGTGTGTTCTGACAAGTAACATGTACCCCCCTCATCACTCACCTCTCCCTTGCCCAGGGGGAAGACGCCGGCCGAGTCCGACATCCAGCTGCTGGACATAGCCCGGAAGCTGGACTCCTACGGGATCCGCCCTCACCCGGCCAGTGATGGGGAAGGGACGCAGATCAACCTGGCTGTCACGCACATGGGGGTCCTGGTGCTGCGGGTAAGGACAGCACCCTCCCTCTCCCCCGCCTCCCCCCGTGCGCCTCAGGCTGTGGTGGCCACGTGTCCTGGATCCCACCCTACCCTGGAGCCCCTTCCAGGCCTAGGTCTGGTTCTACCACTTGGCTGCACTGTGCAGCGCTGGCGCTGGCTGCCAGGCTCCCTGCTCCACACGCCTGCTTGCTGCTGGCCTGCTGCCACTGCCCTACACGCCACCCACCCGCGTGCCAGCCTGACATGCCAGCCTCTGCCTCTCCAGCCGCAGCAGCCTGCGGCTGTGGGTTGTCGCCACTTCGGGAGCTGTGTTTGTCCCTTGTAAACACTGGTGTCACTCTGTCAGGCTGGCGTGTCATGGGGCTGCTCCGCTCACACGCACCGTGTAATCTTCCAGCAGAAATAGCCACCTCGTGCCCAGGCAGCTTTGCCATGCTATAATCAGGATGTATTTGCAGCGTAACTACAGGCTCCTGCGGTCGCTGCGTGGTCCAGCCCCAGGACTGTGAGGTGTCTTGCACCCAATGACACACCATCATTATTGGCGCCCTGTTACTAATTAGCACTGCTTAGTCAGAGCCTAAGTGAAGGCACGTGCTCCTTATTGGCATACAAACGACTCTGTGCCATCCACGTGTGGAAGCGCACAGGCCAGTTTTGTGCACAGTTCTGGGTGCAGATGCAGCGGGGGACATAGCGATGCTCCAGAGACGGGCAAGAGGGGCGAAGACGAGGGGGATGGAGGGGCTTCCCTATGTGGAGACACTAAGGAGGCCAGGCCTGGTCTGTTCAGGAAGGAGAAGCATGAGCAGGGACGTGAGGAGGGTTTACAAAACACCTAATGGCGAAGAGCACGCCAGTTGGGTCAGTTTATTCTCCCTTTCAGCATCCGCGCTCTGCCGCGCTGTGACACAGGAGACTGAGCCAGTGCATGGCAGTGCTTATGGTCTTCAGTAAAGGCATGCATACTGCAGGTGGGACCTGAGCATTAAGTCACTTGCCCAGCTGGCTGGAACAAGAGCATCCTGACATTGCCAAGGCCTGATCCTGCACCCAGGGGCTTGGGGCAGAGCCCACTGCAATTAATGAAGGGCGGGGAGTGGTCTTTGCATCAGTGAAGTGGTCCTTGGTCAGGTCCTGAGCACTCAGCAGACCCAGCGTTTGCCCCCTGCTTGTCCCTGCCCCACCTGCCTCCCTCACGGGCGCTGGAGGGGTGCAAATACCCAGCTGGGAACCAGCCTGATGCCAGCAAGGGCATGCAGAGCCTGCTGGGAGGGTGCTGGGGCCCTTGGAGCCCAGGTAACTGGGGCTCTGCCATTGCAGGGCAACACCAAGATCAACACCTTCAACTGGGCCAAAATCCGGAAGCTGAGCTTCAAGCGGAAGCATTTCCTCATCAAGCTGCATGCCAACGTCTCCGTGAGTAGCAGGGCGCTGCGGGGCTGGGCCTCCGTGGGCTCTGCCACAGTGGTCATGCCATGCTGCCCCCGGGGTCCTCAGCTGCGGGGTGAGGTCTCCTCTCCCTGCCTCAGGATGCTCTGAGGTGTGGGAGCTTGGATGAGCCCATCCTGCCACGCTGTGCAGCCCTGGCTACCCCCCGGTGCCAGCCAGGGCCGGCCTGGACACATCGGGGCAGGTGCCACTCAGTGGTTTCCAGCCACTTGCCATGCGCTGCCCCCTGTGTCACACGTGTGTTCCCTGCAGGCACTGTGCAAGGACACGCTGGAGTTCAGCATGGCCAGCCGGGACGCCTGCAAGGCCTTCTGGAAGACGTGCGTCGAGTACCATGCCTTCTTCCGGCTCTCCGAGGAGCCCAAGTCCAAGCCCAAGGCGCTGCTGTGCAGCAAGGGCTCCAGCTTCCGCTACAGGTGACTGCCGCGGCTGGGTCCCGCGAGCTCTGGGGCACCCTTGAGAGCAGACGACGCGCGAGGGGCGTGCACCTGTGGGAGGAAGCCAATGAGACCCACCTTGACCTTCTCATGGGGCCATAACCCATCTCCAGGGGCGGACCTAGGATTTTGCAAAGGTGCTGGGGGACGGGGGTGCAGCTGGTGAGGTGCGTCACCCTATGTAACACAACACACATTTTTTTCTCTGAATAAGAAGAAACTAAAAGCTTTACTAACAGGCCAAGGGCCTAGGGTGGCAGGTGGCAGGTTAGGATTGCAGCAAAAACCGCTGGGACGTCATTGGCATGGGTTAAAAACAGCCTGCAGGGCTGTGAAATAGGAGCAGTGTGACCAGGAGGAGCCAACAGACAGCGGAAGGGCAGAGCAAAGGCCAGCGGGATGCGGGGCACATCGAGACCATTACAAAGAAGAGGGGGCGGTCATTAACGCCCGCGGAGTGAAGAGTTTAGCAGGAATCAGGGAGACGATAGCGAGCCCTGAAGGCAACTCCCTCAGTGCTGCTGGACTTGAAAGGCCACTGGCTTTGCCAGGCAGCTGTTTTTAAAGGTTGGGTGGAGCAGGGCATCCAAACTGGGGCATGCGCTGGTGTGGATCTCGCCCCCTGCCACTGCAGAGGCCAAACTCTGCCTCCGTCGGCTCCTGCCTTGGCCAGCTGGCCCGTGACCTGAGGTTATCGCTGCGCCAGGGCCTGCAGGGTTTGCTCACACGTGCTTTCTCTGGCAGCGGCAGAACCCAGCGGCAGCTGCTGGAGAACGGGAGCAAAGGGAAACTACGGAGCCTGCCCTTTGAGAGGTACTGGGGGCGGGGTGGTCAGGGCAGCAGGGCAGGGGCGGTGGGGTGCCCGTGTGCCTGACGCGTGCCTCTCGGCTCTGCAGGAAGCACTGCGCCGCCCGCTACAGCGAGAGGCAGTGCCGCTCCTCGCCGGACCTCCTCACCGACGTCTCCAAGCAGGTAGGACGTCCCCCCAGCCTGCTCTGCACAGCCCGTGTGAACATGGGAGCCTGGGGGGGCACCGAGTCCAGCCTGTGCCGTCGCAGCCCCTTGCTGCCAGCCAGTCCTGGATGCTTCCCCGCCAGCCTCGCAATGGAGATGACCGACACCCGTAATGCAGGGCAGCCCCCAGGCTGCTCTGAGGGGCAGCAGGATTGGACCCAGAGCAGCCATGGGTGATGCTGTGCAGTGCGGTAGCCCCCACCTCCCTGCTGCCTGGCCTCACACCCCCTCCCTGCCCCGGGTGCCCCACAGGGAACGGCATCCTTGGTGACACACAGATGTCACCCACGTGGGGCACACATGCACCCACTCCTTGCTTTGTCAGAGGGAAAGGAGGCCCCCCTGCACCTGCACACTCCAAACCCTCACACCCGCACGGAGCTCTCTCCTGTGCATGTGTGTGTGAACACACACAGACAGATGAATACGAGAGCTCTCTCTCTCACACACACACACACACACACACACACACACACACACACACACCCATGCGTATGCACACACACACATACATAAGTACACGTGCATATGGAGCTCCGTCTCCCAGACAGCTCTCTCTCTCTCTCTCTCACACACACACAGAGCTCTTGTGCATGCACACACACATATATGCACAGAGCTAGTGCACATGTACAAGTGCACACACAGAGCTCCCACATGCACATGTATGCACACATACATGCACACAAACACACAGGGCTCATGCACATATACAGAGCTCTTGCATGTACGCGCGCACACATGCAGAGCTTTTGTACACACACACACACACACACACACCATGCATGTACACAGACGTGCGCATGGAGCTCTACCTCTTGCACACATGCACAGAACTGTCACACATGGAGCTCTCTTTCTCACACATGCATGCACAGAACTTGTTCATACTCATGCATGTGCATGCACACACACATACATGGATCTCGCTTGCACATGGATGGCACTTGCTCTCACATGCACGTTGCACACACGCATGCATATTGTGGGCCTCTAGGGCAAGCGAGGTGGTCAGATCCCCAGGGAGAAAGGCAGCCCTGCCCCTGAGACCCGCCCCCCCCCCGCTTGCTGCACCCTCACAGCGAGGCTCTGCACCAAGGCAGCTGCCCACTGGTTGAGCTACCTGGGGGGGGGGATGGGACAGGTATTGTACATACATTTGCATTTGTGCACATGTATATGTTTGAGACAGAGCGTGAGTGTGCATGAGCACTCTGCGCATGAGAACTCAGTGCGTTTGTACATGTGCATATGTGAGAAAAAGCAAGTGAGCAAGCTCCATGTATGTATGTATGCAGGTGCGTGTGAGTGTATAGGTGAGAAAGAGCACGTGCGCTATCTCTGTGTGTATGTGCATGTGGGCAAGAGTGCTCTTTGTACATGTGCACATTCGAGAAAGCCCGTGAATGCATGTGGAGTTCTGTGTGTGTGTGTGTGTGTATGCACACACACACACACACGTGTTTGGCTGATAGGAGGTGGGGGCTCAGGGGCTGAGGACACGTGCCTGCCTGTCTCCCCAGGCGGAGGACCTGCGCCTGGCCTATGGCAGCAGCCGGGGCTGCTACCGGGCGGCCAACGGGGCACACGCCTCGGCGCCCACGCTGGACAGCCGGCGCCGCAACTCGGCGGTGGAGGTGACCTTCGCGGCCGAGCTGGAGCGCTCCCAGCCCGAGGCCGACCCTGCGCGGCTGCCCCACTCCTGCAGCAGCACGGCCTTCCCCTGGGTCTACGCCGAGCTGGAGCGCGAGCGCGACTGGGAGCTTGCCGAGGCCTTGGGCCCGAGGGGCCCCCTCACCTCCTTCCAGCCCAGCCACGGCAAGAGCACGTCCGTGGGCAACATGCGTGAGGCAGCCGCCCGCCCGCTAACCTACACCGACGTGCCCTATGCGGCCCCGGAGCCCGTGGCCCCGCAGGTCTTCTTCTACGTGGACAGGCCTCCAGCGCTGCCGCGACACAGCCCCATGCCGGCTGCCACCGAAGAGGCCACGAAGACGTCCGCAAGGCCGTCCAAGCGAAGCCCGAGCCTGGCCAGGATGTGGGAGCCTATGCTGGACCCGCTGGCCCAACCAAGTGGCAGCAGCATTAGCCCCGAGGAGGAGGAGGAGCGTGGTGCCCTGGGCGGCACCGACTACGGCATCCAGGAGCAGTCGCCCAAGCGGTCGTGGAGCCAGTCGGACATGAAAACCCTCCGCTTCCCCTACGGCTCAGAGTTTCGGCCGCTAGGCCCCTGCCCCGCGCTCACCAGCCGCAAGGCCACGGTGCCGCGGTACGTGCTGGCCCCGCCACCCCCGGCAGAGCAGTACGTGGGCAGCGGCACCGAGTCCAGCGACTCCGACCCGGACCTGCTGGCCACCGACTACGGGGTGCTGTACGGGCGGGTGACGCGATCGCCCCTGGCCCGCGTGCGACTGTCCTCTGGCAGCCTCCAGCTGGATGAGGAGGACGAGGAAGTGGCCGCGGCCACGGGCGGTGCCGAGAGCAGGACGGCACCTGGCACATCCAGTTATTACACCTAAGGGGCAGGTGGAGCACAGGGCAGGGGCTGGTGGGTTGTTGGTGTTGTGCAAGTGCAAGTAGCTGTAGAGGATGTGGTACCGAGGGCCACGCAGAGCACCCACTCCTCGTGTCTCCCCCTCGTGCCCCGGTCACGGACTAGCTGCAGGGAGCCTGCATGGTGGAGCTCCCCATGCCCGTCCCAGTGCTGGTCATGGTGGAAAGCATCGAGAGGCGCAGGTGTGATAGTTTCCTTCGGCTCCAGGAGCTGAGAGATGATGGCACTGACGAGAGCGGCAGAAGCTTGCGTTCAGAGGGGGACGCGTCGAGAAAGAGCTCGTCCCCAAGAAAGGCAGAGGTGCGTGGGGCTGCACAAGTGTCTGGGTTAAAGCCCTAGTACTACCCTGCATCCCCCGCAAACCTGCCCGCTGCCTGGTCCTCGAGCAATTCCCACCTTGGCATCGCTCTGCTGGCTCCAGTTCCAAGAGGAGCTGAATCCCAGCTCCGTCGGCCCCAGCCCTCTGCCTTCCACCAAACGGGAGCCTCCTGGCCTTGCTGGAAGGAAGAGAACAGCAGCACCCCCATCCCACCCCACCTTCAGTCCTGTACCCTACCTCCTGCTCCTCAGCACTGCACCCTCGGCAAGGCATTATCCAGACCCCTTTGCTTCTAGGGTAGCAGCCACCGCCACGAGCCACATGCACTCGGGCTTGGTCTCAGCTTCCTGGTGGCCCCGGGGCTGTGCGGAGCAGCAGGAAGGGCTCTGCTTCTGCCCCTTGCCAGGAGGGTGGGGAGATGCAGGGTCAAGTCCCCTCTGAAGGAAGAGGGCCTGGAAGGGAGCCGAGGGCCCAAGCACAGCGGGGGGCGGACGGGGGCATTCCCAGCATCATAAGCAGGCAGGGGCAGCTGCACATAAACCCAAGGCCATGGATTTGCATTGCCTCGCACCCTCCGGGTGTTTATGTGAGGGCACAGGGGGGAGTAAACACCCACTGCGGACCATGTCCCATAGGTGCATTTTGGAGACTGCTGCTTGCACGTCCCGTGGTCAAGGCACTTCAGGTGAGGACTTGCTGCCCAGCTCCGGCTACAGCAGACAACAAGGCTGGCGTCTCAGACCCTAGTGCACAAGCAGTGCTACCCTCCAAAATGCCTTGAAAGAAAAGAGGCTCTTTGCTCCATAGTCATGCGACTTACGGGAGTAGGAAAGGTGGCTGTACCCAGCTGCACGCCCATGCTTCCTTCCCTGTTTTCCTGGATCAGACGGGATGCACTGCCACAGGTTGAGAGAGGAGGAAGCAGCATGTATGCAAACAGCTGTGCAGAGCAGGTTGCTGTTTAGTTGACATAAAAACACAAGTTCTCAAGCGTCTGAGCAGCGCCAACACTGGGCAGGCACAGGTGGAGGGACGAGGGAACACGCACAAAGGAAAGAGCTCTTAAGTCATTGTACAAATATTGTCCCCAAAACCAAGTGACACCTTTTGGAGGGAGGGGGGAAGGGGCTGCAGAACCAAACCGAGAGGGGCCTCAAGCTGCTGGATTCTGTACACACTGTGTGTGCACACACACACACACACACACGCCTGTTGGACTGGGCTGTAACAGTAAGCATCTGGGACCACTTCGGTTTAGGGAAGGAGAGCCAGGCCACCCTCCTAGGGGTTGCTGGGAGCGCCCTCAATTCAGAGAGGGACAACCTGGCTAACTGGGTAGCACCTTCCCTGGGTATTTGTGGCGCTCTGTTCTTTGTGCTACTGCTCGAGAAGCTGGACAATAAATGCATCACAGAAAGGCCACCCTCTTCACTGCTTTTTTGGTTTTCATTTTCCGGCCAGTGGAGCCGAACCAGCCTCGCTGGAACCGGCACGGCAAATGCCCGGGCGTTGCAGCTTCCTGCTCATTGTTCTGCGAAGGGCGGGTGCGTCTTGGGCACCGGGCACACCCAGGGAAATGGGCAGCAAGTGCTGCAAACACATCTCTGTCCCTAGCAGACAGAATAGGACCTGGCAGCACAAAGAGGCAGAGGCAGAAAGGTGAGAGATCTTACTTAAAGAGGTGCGATGGGAAGGGTTTCATTCCCAAAATTGGGGAATGCCATGAGGACTTGTGACCTGGGTCTCACTGCCCGTTAGCCTCCCCACTGCTTGCTGGAGCACCGAGGAGTGCATAGGATGAAGGAGCAGTGGTTTACAACACCCTGAACCACTCCAAGTGCATGAGAAAAGGCACCAGGAACGGGACGGTGATGAGGCCTTGTCATCCCCCAGCACTACAAAAAAGGGAAAAAAAAGAAGCTGAAAACCCACCTAGAACGTGTTTCAATTGATCCTGCTCTCCCCCCTAGGAGCACAGGATTGATCCCCACTCCTGCCCTGCCAACTGGGCACAGTCTGCAGGCTTCTGATCCCCTCCATCCCTCAGGAGCCAGGATCATCTGGCCTCTCGTCCGTAATGCAGGCAGGATGCCCAGCACTTAAACGCAAGAGAAGGGCTGGTGACCTCGACAGCTGCTATCCACAGAACCAACGTTGAGCGAGGGGGAACAAGGACACACTGACCTATTTTGTTATCAAGGAGCCTGTGCAAAATAAAGTAGGATGCATGGAGACAGGCTGCTTCAGAGGGAAACAGATTGGTTTAACTGAGGTTACCAAATATACCCCCTGCTTAACAGAAGTATTTAAAATCCCAAGATTAGCAGCAAAAGACCCAACAGACCTTTAGTTCAGACCCCTACATGACTATGGGGAAGTCACAAGATACAACTTTTACACAGCACTGCAGTAAGGTTTAAGGGTGTTTGGGGGTTCAGTCATCAATTCAAATGCTCTACAGTGCACATAATATGCTTCCATATTTTAAAATTAAACCTCGTTTATGAAATCGGCAAGCCAACATACATACTAAGAGTAGTTTTGCAAAGAGGAAAACAATTTTATTCCAGTGTTAAATCATGTAACAGCGTGATAAAGCCAGGCCTTTAACAATGGCTAAACTTTGTGCAAACACATCAAGAATCTATGTACTTTCTAGTCACTAAGCATTCACTTGAACGTAAGAACAGTTTTTTACTCTTAGTACGTGTACACTGTACAGAACCTTGTTGGAGGAAAAAATTGGAGACAAGGAGAATTAAGAGGTTTCAGGAACAGCGATTACAATGACAGAGGAGTCTGATACCCAGGAACAAACACATATGTTTCTAACCCGCATTTCATATTATTTTCCTAAATGACTAAAAATGTCAATTTTCCTCAACGCACAGCTGGGGGAGAAGCTAGAAGATGGTCCCTGCATGAATGCTGTGATATATTCTTCAGTCAGCTACTTAATACTGCTGATTAAATTATGGTTTGTCAATACCTAATGCATGGCAGGGGGGGGAACAATGATTCACAAAACTGTAATGAGGGTATCCATTCATAGTAAGAAGTAAAATAGATTCTTATATGACGCATAGTGCTTCAGCAGAGCAAATCCCACCTGCAATACAGTACAGCTGTGTTCTTTAGGTCAGCACTAGATAGTAACAAGGTTTTTATAAACAAGAATACATCTAGCCCCACAACATCCCCGTGAGGTAGGCAAGCATCATACCCATTTCCCAAGGAAAAAGGAGGCACAGGAGTTCAAGTGACTTGGTTCAGGTCACACAGCAAATACGGGGCAGGCTGAGGCAGGAATAGATTTCTGTTTCCCCAACTGTGCACTCCCTGCTCTGGCCACCCAAAGGATTCGCTCGCAGTTGCATAGATTAAAGCCCCGTGCTTCAAGAAGACGTAGCCCCCAGTTACAAAATTCAAGTCGTTTGTGTCGTTTTTCCATTGGCCCCGTAAAAAAAGCACTTCATTGAGAGGAAGTGACATGGAATTCAAGACACAAGGATTTTAATTCTGAGAAAGAAACCTGTCGGCGTTTGAAGCGAGGCTTTTGGCGATGAGATTGCACAAGGTAAGAGTCGACTGTGGCACGGTGCTTTCTCTATCGTGAATCTGAACTAGGAGTTCACAACACCGCTGGGACACACTGACATGGCTACAATGGTCACCGGTGCTGTATGACTGCATGCTGGAGGACTAAGAGACTGCTCTTTCGGCAGGAGATCAACCGAACCCTGGAGCTGCTCCACATAGCTTGCGTTCCACGCTGGATAAGGCCGGCAGGCGTCCTTTGGACAAGGACAGCAGAGGGGAAACACTTCCCCAAGCTATACGTGCGTCCCCGCAGAAGGAGAAGTTTTGTTTAAGTAGCAAACTAAGCTGGAAAAGGGTAGGTCAATATTTATGCACATTACTTAAATCCAAAATAAAATGCACAACAAAGCAGTTTCATGAATTTTACAGAACTTAAATATTTATTTTTAAACCATTTAACCCCTCCCCCCCCAAAAAACCAATGAAATAAGCTTAATCTATCAACAGATTTACAGGACTAACAACTACATAAGCTATAGGAGCACTACAATTTGTTTCTGTGATGCAGTTATTTTGTAAAGCTTCAGATCAACTGTATTTACAACTTTTGCTGCTTTTACATTTATAAAAATATTTATTTAATCCATAACATTATTGTTTTCAAAAACTATTTCCAGACTTTTTCTCAGATATAAATTCTAATTGAGTTTCAGTTATAGAGCAGATGAATGTTTTCAACAGAAACATTTCTTTAAAATTAAAACAAGGAGTTAAAAGTAATTTTTACAGTGTAGGCACCATTGAAAATAATTGTCCTTGGCATATCTAACCACCATCTCTTACAAGTGTCCTTTTATACAAAAGGATGTAATGGCAACTTTTGACTCGAAAATGCAGTATTTGCTTGCACTTGCACACCATTACTTTTTCAATATTTGGCAGATATATTTCAGATTCTTTAAAATGACTTTTGTGCAAAAACAAAATAAACACATCCAGCCTTTATCAAAAATAAATTTACACCCCACAGTTCCACAGCTAAGTACTGAAAAACAATCCCAGTTCAAAACTTCAGCATAATATACATACTGGGTTGAAAAGGAAAAAAAAAAAGAGAAGGCTATTACCCCATCTAGCAGTACCATAGAGTTGAAAGCAATTTTATAGTCTTACCTACTATTTATGAAAAAAAAAAAAAAATCACTCCGTACTGGACAGTACTACCTTTGTGAAAGAATATCTATAACTCAGTTATTTGCATATTAACTTGTAAATACATATTTAAAATACACTTTCAGAAAACAAATTATAAACAAATTATGCCAACGTACTGTCTTTAATGTACTTTAAGAACCAAAGTGTATAAATATTTTACAGGAAAACAACACCACCACACAAAACGCTGGTGTTATACTTATACCTGCTTGTGAGGTATTTATCACGTGATGCTCAGCTCCCCTCCGGCTCTCTCCCACCCAGCCATGCGATGCGTTGTACTCAAAGAAAAGAACTTGAAAGTAATTTGGACTTCAGTTTTTGTCCATTATTGCCAAAAGCCCCCACCCCCTCAACTGTATTGCTTTAAAATTTCCTACCATGATGAATAAGATTTAATTACTACTTCAAAACCTGTTCTAAAAGGTAATACATATACTGTACATCAGGATACACCTGTTGCTACATATCACCTGCAAACTATTGACATATTGCTCTCAAATGTGTATAATCATAGAGCTGCCTAAAATACTGTACCAATTCAGAAGTATAGAAGATACTGTCGCAGGCTTCATTTTCAGGGCATGATAAAACTATGGTGGTTGAAGCAGGAGCTACAGCAACAGCCTAGCCGCTACGTTATGTTTTGAATACGCTTGTGAAAAAACTATTTCTGAAGCTTGTTAGTGATTTACAAAAGTTTAACATATGAATACAAAAGACCTGTACGTTCCCATCTGTGTACAGTAACAAAAATAGCATAAAAACCATACTGTACTTGCACTTCCTATCAACTAAAGTAATGGTTATATCTAACAGCAAAACTGCACCTCAACATTTATCAGATTAAACAAGTGAAACTACAATATTAAAAGTTGTTCTTTACAAAATAATTTCCTGAAAATATAAAACCATGTACACCATCACAAAATAGTTGAGTAGGTTCTTCCATATCCTTGATCATCATCAATATGTTGCAAAGATCCAAAAGGCACAAGGAGTCAAGAGCTAAGCACTGCCAAGCTTGAAGTAGTTTTGGTGGGTTTCACTGGGTCCATATGAAACAGCAGTCATTTTATGGGAAGTTTCTTAGGAGGAGTCATTAACAGACAACCTATAAATGAAACCGTGCAAGTAGGAATCGTGTTAATGCTTTGGTATGCAGCATGTGAATGACACTGGACTTCAGCGTGTATAGTGATTACACAATTGCTTTTTCAAAGTGTCTGCCATCTTCTGTCAAAAAAGTCAGTCTAAGCTGGTTACCTTGGCAGGAATACAAAAAGCCCTCAGGGTGTTCTTGACAGCATATCCTTTAAATAACATGGCTATTTTATTCCTTTTTTTATTTTTTAAAAAGCAGGTAAAGTTTATTCTGCTTTTACTTATAAAAAAAAATTACTCCTTTTCAGTAAGAAACTAAATAGAGCAATGGTCACATTAAAATTGCCAAGTAAACAAAAATGAATACTGATTTTACCAGTATATTTTGGTTTCAGTAACACGAGACTCATAAGTAAGAGTTTTCTGAAGAGGAATTAATTTGAGGTGGCATCCATTTATTTTTTTTACCATCCCTGGGGGATATGGAGCATAAGTTGGGGCACTGATCTCTACCAAAGTAGATGTATATGGAGACATACAAAGCACTGATGGCAGATTCA